ACCTCCCATGACACATGCGACCAAGCCTGGATCCAAGAGCACCACTACATCGCCAACTGGATGCCTTCACTCAACTGGCCGTTCATTTCCCACCACCTCAAACTCAAAGCTCAGGGATGGCAGTTCGCGAAACACAGAGCCCACTTCTACTCCAGATTAGCCACCCACAAACGACTTTTCCGACGCCTTCGACAACGCCAGTACACCCTCAGAGAACCACACCTCTACACTTCCACTAAGCATCACGCCCTCCAACTTCTTCGCAACCTTACCAAACACACCGCAGCCTCTTTTGAGGCAGCAAAACAGCTAAGAAGCGGCCGCCACACGGACCTCGAGGTGTATGCAATCCGGCGTATGGCCGCAAACTTGGAAGAACCTGGCCGCAGCCGAGCTCTTCACATCCTCAACAAAGCCTTGATCTACCGCAACCTCACGCCACCAAAACCAAACATCCCATTGACAGTGCCCTTCTTGGCCCATGACGACTTTACCAAGCACTGCCAACAATGGCTCCGTACTACCATCCAGCAGCACAAGCATTTCACCATTCCCCTCCACCTCCCCTCCCACAGACTGAGGGAAGCCGCCCACAAAACCCTCCGCTCCCACCTGCACAACCATCGCACATGGGAGGACACCCTCCACTCCCCGCCAGATCCAGCAGACCTCCCCTGTGCATGCGATCACCTTCGCACCCTCCTGCAGGATCCCGATACCCCTACCATCAACGGCCACTACATCCTTACACTTGACCAACTCCAACTCCCTACACACCTCAGCATTTTTCTCAACGCCAATATGAACAGCACCTATTACCCAAGCAAAGCTCGGTACTTCCTCATTTTCAAGACGGCCTACACCAAATGGCTCAAACTACAAGGGCTTCCACCATCCCTAGTACAACACCTACAGCCTTTCCTTGAGCACCAATGGCGCCTTCACAACACACACCTAAAGCAGCAACCCCGTTTTACGGCCCGCCTGCTTCGTCAACTCCAAGAACATTTGGGCAAACACGCATTACTCCACCATGCCGATCATGAGCTCCAACAACTGCGACTGTTTTGCCCTCGCCAATACTTCACTGGCGCCTTGAACACCTGGCAATCCCCCGAACTATTTGAACCACTTCCCTACATCACTGCCGCCAACATCCATGACCACCTGGCCGCCACTGTCCCCCCCATCCTGCGCACCCGCTACAAGTGGGGTTTTCGAAAAGACT